TAGGACGAAGCGCGTCATCTCCGGATGCGCGTCCTCGTCGCGCGCGATTTTCTCTCCCCCTTTCCTCTCCACCGCGTCCGCGCGCTTCTCTCCTCCTCCCCCTCTTGCTCCTTATCCTTCCTCCGTGCCCCCCTTCGCGCCTAAGCGAAGTAGCGCGAAGGCGACGAGATCGCGGCTGCGAGTCACGTAAATCGCGAGCTCGAGGAATCGCCGCGCGCGCGGCGCGGATGTCGCAATCGCGGTAATATTCGCGCCGGTCTTCCTTCCCGCACTTCGCGCGCGTGCGCGCGACGGAAAGGCCAGGAGGGTGGGCGACGAAGAGGGACGGACCGGGTGAGGGTCGGGAGGGAGAGAGAGAGAGAGAGGGCGAAAAGAGAAATAAGAGGCGCGTGTTGCACCGTGACGGAATCCCGGCACGAGTGATTTCGCCGACCGGACACGTACATCCTTGAGCAGCTGACTCAGCGGAATGTTCCTCTAATCGATCCGTATCTCTCGCCTTCTTGCGAGCGGCAGGAGCAGCCGAGATGAAAAAGGAAAAGGATTAAGAGAGAGAAAAATAGATGCGTGATTATTAAGTCGTAGATGTATTTTGGGGACGAGGGAGGCAAGCGGTCGGGCGAAAAAATGTTTGCCGTACACAGATACGTACGCGCGGTATAAATTCGTCGCAAATTTCTAGTTTTACAAGAAACACGAATTTATAAGAATGAAATACATTAAACGGACATTTGTATTTTTATTTGAAGATCATTTGTAATGTAGAACGAAAACAAAAATGAAGAAGAGGACGCGCGCGGAACGTGTGATTTCTCGCCACCGACGAGCCGAAGTCAGCCGGTCCGTTTTTGCGGAAACGCGCGTATCCTCGCGAAGTACGCGGAAGAAGAACATAGACGCGAGACGAGGGAAGAGAGAAAGAGAGAGGCTGAGCTATTTCGTCGTCGGGGACGGCCGAGCGCGGCCGAAACCAGCCGAGACGGAGTCTCCGAAACGCGCAGCGGTATTCACGCGGCGCGCCAGAGCGAGTGCGTGTACGCCCGCTTGTTTGTCGTTGTTCGTTTTGTACCTCGCGCGGCGGCGGCGTGACCACTCCGTCGCGCTGATTACGCAACGCGTGGCCATGAGAGCGCCCCGCGCTCGCGCGCGAGAATGCAGCCGCTCCGCGCGCTCGTTCGTCGCGCGCGCGCGCCCATATCGTCGCGCAGGATTGGCGGGATTATCGGTATCTCGCGATGTGTGTTTACAACAACAAATCGAAATGCGCAAGCTCCTAAACTTCCAAGCTCCCCAGTCTTTGGCTATCATTAAATTTGAATAGTGTTGAGTCCGTCGGTCACTCGATACGAAATAATTATGAGATGTGCGAGCATCGAATTTTTAGCTTATCCACCGCTCATCTGTGTTACATAATGTCTCCTTCAGCCGTCTTGTTGCTATACGGAGGATTTTTTTTTTTTTTTTTTTACCATTATGATGTTTACTCGGAATGATAGATAGGGTTGCGCGAGACGCAGCGAGACGCAGCCTCGAGCGGACTAGTTGAGAATCGCTGATCTAACAAGCGACGTGCAGGTTCACTATGCGCGCGTGCACGCGCACGCGTGTAGGCGTGCATGGCGCGCCATGACTTGTAGGATGAGCGTGCAAAGGCGTACGTCTCGTCTAGAAATTAATGTACAGCCAATATTAGGCAGCGAGAGCAGCCCGTTTCGTCATGTGATATAAATGAATACCAGGTGTCGATCGTACGAAATACGAGAGACGAAAATTGAGAATATGGCACGGAGGAGGAGGGGAGATAGATCTTATAATTATTAGCATTTCCACCTGAGATGATTAGATACTTGCGAGAGGATAACATTTTTTTTGTTATTTAATTAAGCTCGCGGAAAGTAGACTAATCGAGCAGTAGACGTGAATACGCGAGACCATACCGTGAGAGCTGTAATATGTTGATTGCAGCGTGATTTTTATTTACGTCGTTTCAACGCGCGAATTGGAGGAATGAATTCGCGCGTTTGAGCCTTTCGCGCTCGAGCTTATAAAAACGCGCCGGGAAAATAATCTTATAATTAATTTAGAAATATAAATTCTACGAGATTATAGCAATATTATTTTATTTTTTATCTGAAATTAAAATAAATATATATATATTTTTTAATGATCACAGTCGACATATTTGCGATTATAATGTTTGCGCCCGCTCGGATGAAGCAATATCGGATTAATCTCACGGCGTCATCGAATTCACATATTTTGGGTCTTCTTTTTGCACACGCGTACGTGCGCGCGCGTGTGTTCCCGTGTAGCCGAAAGAGAAAAAAAAATATAAGAGGAAAGAGCAGAACGGAAGAGAGGAGAAGAGAGAAACCGGCCGAGAGTATCAACGCGAGTATCGGAGCGGCTAAGTAAACACGAGAGCGAGAGAGCATCCGACATTCGGTGCCGGTTTTTACCCGGTACGTTCTGCGTTTCGGGGAACGCGCAGTTGTGTACACTGTCGTGATCTTCATTTACGTCTGCCCGGTCCTTCCCTCGCGTCAGGTACCACCTTCTCGCGAAAATCCCAGACACCGATACTCCCAACAGCGCGCGCCGCCGGTCGCGTCAATAAAGGAGATAACTGCGTTTCTTTTTTTTTTTTTTTCGCGAAAGAGACTTTGGTATAAGGGGCAAAGTGATTTGTATAATCGTGGATGCACATATTAATTGTCACAGGCGATGCCGATGCTTTAGGAAATCGATGCACGGTGCACTACCGTTTGCAATATCGACGCAATATTAGATTTACCTGTTTGAGATATAGTTTCAAAGGAACTTGGTCCCCGAGCCCTGTGTGACGTCAAATTCGAGCGTGGAATTTAGTTATGTTAACTTCGGCGAGGTTCACTCATTGATCGGCGCTCACGGGATTTATTTTTGTCCCTATATTTCCCTGACAAAGCCAGGTTTCAAATAACACGAAAGTCAATTAGTTGCACGAGTGAGCGATGCAGGAATACGTAACGTATAGAAAACCGCTCGTGATCTCACGGATAATTTGGAAGGCAGAAACTTCAAAAATCAATTCCGAGATAAAATTAATAAAGACGTAATAATATATGATGCATTTATTATATATTTTGCGATCAAACTGACGTATTAATGCTGTTATGAAATGTTCGAAAAATATGCGTGAGAGAGTTTGTTGTCTCGATCTATTAAGTATTACGAGCAGGATCGTATTTCTTATCGCGAGATCAGCGTGCTGTGCCTTAATTGCACGCAATGCGTTTTATTCTAAAATTATCAGCCGCGTACAGGTGTCTCGGAATTATCATCGAGTCGATAATCGAGAATTTTCCCGGCTGTCTTTCTCCCGTTCGTTCCCGGATTTGCGGATGACCAGACGAGAAAGATTCGCAGCGGGCGAATGCGATCGTTATATACGCGTTCGGCCGCGTAATCCGATCTCGCCGCGGGCGTTTTCCGCTTTCGCGGGTTAATTGATACCCCTCGGATGCCGTAATATAATTCGACGCGTTTCCCCCCTGGGTAGAGTTCGCCGATCCCCGAACACGTTAAAGATCGATCTCACATCTCTCTTTCTCTCTCTCTCTGTCTCTCTATCGGTCGCCGCACCGTCTCGCCTCTCGCCTCGCCATGGTGTCGGGCTGCCATTCACCGTGAAAACCGTACGTACACTCGCGCTCTGGTCACCGACAAGGTCGCACAAGGTCGCGCAACCATCCTGCATCCATACGCCATATGCAACGGTGTGCATGCGTGCATACGCGCGACGACGCAGGTGGACGATATCGAGGCACGCGAGGCAATCTGCGAGGAAATAGAAATTTGGAATAGGAATTGCGTTGACATTGACAACGACGACTATATCTCAGTTATACTATATAACTTTTCAGTTATACATTCTTCGAATTAAATATTTATTTCTAACTTATCGTTGAGTAATTAAATTTATTCTATCGAATTCTTCCCGCCGTTTCGCTTCACGGAAACGGTCCTGCCGATTTATCTCCGCGGTGTCTCGCACGATGCAGCCATCTACATACATGTAGCGTGATTTGCGCGCGAAAGCACCAGCGGGTCCCGGTATCGATCCGAATGCGTAGAAAATGCTATTGATTCCCTCGGCCGACCCGACGACCTCTTCTCTCCATGGCGACGATCCGACTGAAGAGACTTTCCGAGGCTTTCCTCCGTCCCCTTCTGATCGTTTTTCATCTTTCAATCACATACATTGCTACGTGATATAAACGTAATTACGCCAAACACATGAAAAACCGTGAAATCTCATGCGAGTATTATTATTATAAAAATAAGTTGAGATTTTTAAAAATACATAGAATACTCTAAAGTTTAAAGGGATTACAATACCGCTAAAGTAATACGTATTATAATTATCGAATATTATATGATAACTAATTAATTATAACTTCGATAAAAATTATGATTGGAAGTGAAGAAATTGCAAATAGAATTTTTAATGGAAACAGAGGAGAATATTTTCATCTTCATTTAATTTCAATAGATCGTCTCTCACCTCTCATCTAGAGATAAAATGTCACGTACGTGATGACCGCAAATGGAAGGGGTGAGAGGAGAGAATTGCATAAAAGGCACACAAGCCAAGTGACTCGCCTATTCGTTTTCTGCCTACGCCCTCCAGGGTCGTACATCCCACGTCCATCCTCCCATCGTATTGCCATCCTTTCTTTAGAATCGCTTTTGTGGCTTTGAACACTCTCGGAGCATGCAGAGCACCTGCTCCAATAACTCTTTACTCGTTAAAAATTATATTTCAATATATTTTAACTCGAAGACATTAATTATTTTGCAACTCTTATCAGCAATAAGGAATTATCTTTTAACAATTATATATTCTGATATTAGAGTTTTATTAAACTTTCAATGTATTCGAGATTCGATTGAGATTTAAGACAATTAGATTTAAGAGGGACACCTCCTCCTTCACGTTACTATTCATTCTGTGACAGGTCACGAGTAAGACGGGCACGATAATTCTTGGCCGATGAGGAGCAGAGCAGCACGAGGACGAGTAGTAGAAGGAGCAGCAGCACGAGCAAGAGCGAGTGGCTTCATCGTCGTAGAAGGTGGTGGCGGTGTGGAGGAACAGAAGAAGGAACGAGGACGAAGTGGCGGCGGCAGCAGTGGCAGTGGCAACGGCGGCAAAGCGGCGGCGAACAGCCAGGTCCCCCCATGTTAGCGGACATCAACGGCAACCTGGCGGATCTGAGAAGCGAAGCGATGGCGTCGCAGAGATTTTGTCTGCGCTGGAACAACCACCAGAGCAATCTGCTCTCCGTCTTCGACCAGCTGTTGCACGACGAGTCATTCGTCGATGTCACGCTGGCCGTTGAGGGCCAGCTACTCAGGGCGCATAAGATGGTGCTGTCGGCGTGTAGCCCCTACTTTCAGGTGGGTCAGACTTTTCGTGTCTGTAATTTATTTTAAATTAACACTTAAAGAAATAGACACTTTAGACGAATTAATTAGACAGCAATTACTGTCGCCAGTCGTTTATATTTAATTAATTTATTTAATTTAATTGATTTCACAATAAAACGGCAGTATCTCAAGTTGATTTTATGATGGATTGAAATTGGATTCTTATTAACACTGACACAACTTTTTAAAGAAATAGAGTGTAATGTAAAATTGCTACATGTACAATTTGCAATTTATTAAAAAAAAAAAAAATATTATAAATTAATATGTCAATTTGTATTTACAGGCCCTGTTCGTTGGACACCCCGACAAGCACCCGATAGTCATTCTCAAGGACGTTCCATATGTGGACATGCGCAGCCTCCTGGACTTCATGTACCGCGGCGAAGTGAGCGTCGATCAAGATCGACTGACCGCCTTTTTGCGAGTCGCCGAGTCGCTGAGGATAAAGGGCCTGACCGAGGTAAATGAGGACAAGTGCGATTTGCCAAGCATCACGTCCTCGCTGTTGGGCGGCAACCAGAACGCGGTGGCGCCGCCACCGCCCAGTCTCCATCGGATCAACCAAATCGGTCCGCATCATCATCATGTCGCGCAGAAGAGGTTCCACCATATGTCCAGCCATCCATTGCTTGGCTCGGCACTGACGGCGCCAAAAAGGAAACGCGGCAGACCCAGGAAGTTGAGCGGCTCATCGGACACGCCGATCGGCGAGGTCGGCGGTCAGGATTTGCAGTCCTGCTCTGGCGCTGATCTAGTCCAGGGCTCGCCCGAGATGATGGAGATGAAGATGGGACTGGACTTTCAGAGCGAGGTTAGCGGTAACGGCAACGTGAGAGGCACCTCCTCTTCCAACAATTCTGCAACGGCCGCCAATAATTCCTCTGCCGCCGCCACGGCCTCTTCGGGATCTATGTCGGCGAGGAGAGACGAGCCTACGGAGAACGGTACCGATACGCCGGAACCGCCAGTCACGCGGGTCAAACGAGAACCGGAACCGACGCCCAGCACCTCGGCGCAAGGTACGGAAACGCGACGATGTGCGATATAACGTTGAATTAAAATTTGAAAATTGGAACTGATCATTTCGTCGTTGTTGATTCTAGCCTCGGATGAGACATTCGCGCGGCCGCACAGTAGGCAGGGGAGTGATGGTTTCAAGCAAGGTAAGACCTTCAGCTTACTCGACTTCCATACAGAGAAGCCTTGCATTGCTAATATTCCCTACTATATACAGCGCGAACAACAAATTTCACGCGATTTACGTGATTTACCAGAGCATCCCTTAGATATCGTTGCATATTTTATCTATCAAACGGAGAGCTGCGCGCGTTTGCAAATTGTAATTAATTATACGATTGATTATACAACTGTTCATACACACTTTATATTATTAATTAAGCAGACGTGTAAATGTATATTTAGTAAAATATTAACTCCTTCAGATTTGACTGTTCTATATATTCTATATGTAATAAATTTGCAATTGTTTTATATCTTTGGATCTATTAGAGATTTCCATTTAAGAACATTTTTTTACTTTTAAAAAATTTGAATTTATATACATAGATCTATTGGAGTAAATTCTTTAGTTAACCCTCGAACAATCGCAATGTTGCATAGAAAATATTTCTTACTCCTGTAAAATTCTATATTTATAATTGTTGATTTTTTAAAAGATGCGTTTGTATAAAAATTACACAAGGTAAGTCATTACACAAGATGTAGCGTTGAACGCAACGTGCGTCTGAGGGTTAACCATAATTACATTTTAGTAAGAAATCGCGTAATTTTATGGATGCAAAAGATAATAAAGTCGCGCGTTTAATCGCGGAACGATACCCCATCAGATGTCTTAGCATGGAGTGAAATGTGATTCCCATGTACAACGCGGGCGCGGAGAAGAATGTTAGATTATCTAGATCCATTGTACTGTGACATTTCTAAATTTTATAGTTAAAAAAAAAGGTACATATTGGCGTTACTCGTTTTTAAAATAAATAACTGCAAAATTAAGATTTGAATTGAGCGCATTAATTCTGGATTAATGCGTTTGTTGTCGAATATTCTTCTCCGTGCGAACCCAAAGGACGGGGAAAGAACTCGCTTTTGTGCCGTCCAAATGCTTATTCGTTTCTTGTGAACGCGCCCCCGAGGAGCAAGCAAGCAAGCAAACAAGTAAGCGAACCTTGCGCGGCATTATGGACGACGCTGTAGACTCTCTACGTGAGAACGACTCTTACGGCTCTCTCGCACGATTCGTCGAGGTCGATCGACGACGTCTGAGAATCTCGGAAGCCCGGTCCGGAAGGGCTCTCTCGATATACCCACAATCAATTTTGCAACCAAGTCTCGAGACTTCGCGTCACACTTCGCGCGACGATGCTCGGCGCGGATCTACCTTCTACAATCACGCGGCGTCGTCGCCGTCGTGGACGACGGCTTTTATCCTAATGTGCTGCTAATGAATTTGACTTTTCAGACTTCTCTCGAGCTGCCTTGCCGAGAGCGGCTCGGCCAGTCGTTGTCGCACTCCTGCAGGCGCGCTCCTTCCGCTATTTTTTTTTCTTTTAGGAGCTAGCCAGGGGACTCGCGACCCTCGCGACCTAACATAAATCCGCGATTTTCGTTCAGTCGCAGCGCGCTGACCAAAGCCGCGCCGCGCTTCGAGATCTCTCGCGCTTTACCTCTGCCCATTTTCGAAACGAAACGCGCACGTAAAGAAAAAGAACGAGATAGAAGAAAATAATTCTGACGCGAGAGCAAAATCTGCATCCGGAAGAATTTTGAAAAAAATAAAATAAAAATAAAAATAGTAAAGCAATTTCCCTTTCCGATGCCAAGCGCGAGCGGTGCGTCTGATGGTAGTCGCACGTGTGGGATGTCATGTATCGATACGCGCGCGCGCGGCGTTCGCGGCAAATCGCGAGAAGGGACGAAAATCGAGACAAAAAAAGGATATAAAAATAGACGAAAATATCCATATAGAAAGAGAGAGAGAGTGAGCGAGAGAGAGAGAGAGAAAGAGAGAAATAAACGGGCCGTCGTCTCGTTAATCGAGAATTCGCGTTCGGAACCCGGGATGTTGTTACCACGACACCCCGGTGAAAAAAAAAACCGGGAAAGGGAACTCCCCTCTGTGCGAACGTCTGCGAAATTAATTAATCTCTAATGAAACCCATTGCACTCGCGCCGTCGAGTCATTGTTCTCGTCGACGACGTACATACATAATATATATAGATATATCTAGATACATACATATATATATATAACCCATACGTAATTCTCACGCTCGGCCAATGCGCAGCGCCTCATTCCTGACCTCCCTTTTTTCCCCCCTTCATTCTTGGTAGCACAGAATCAGCCACCTCTCCTTGTCTCGCCTCTTCATGATCAATCTGTGTCTTCTCTCTGCCGCACCGCACCTGTCGCTCTCTGTTCGATGCCTCGAACCTCTCTCTAGCCCTCTCTTAACCCCCTTAAACTTCTCCGCTAACATCCCCTTATACATACCGTGTTCACCCCCCTCATGCTCTCTTCTCCGCACGAATGGAAAAAGAAATGCTTCGCTGCCATTGGCCAAAATGGTAACAGGAGGGGGTGGAGCCAGCTTTTAGCGGTGCTTATTTTTTTTTTATTGTCTGATTTTTCACACCTTGAACGCTGGTTAACTTCTTTTACGCTCGTTCGTTGCAAGGAAGATAGAGTAGTTTCACTTTTTTTTTCTTTTTAATCGCGAAAAAAGACAAACGGCAAAGAGGAAGAGAGAGAGAGAGAAAGAGAGGAGAGACGTAAACGCGTCGATGATGATTGCGATAATAACGATGACGATGATAATGATGGTAATGAGTAAAACAACGGACGACACATTGTCGGCAGGTTTATCGTTTCCGTCTTCTCTTGCGTTCTTCTCGTTGCTTTAGACGATAATGACGACAATGAGAAAAGATGAATAGCAAAAAAAAACGAGAGATAAAAGTAGAAGCAGGATAGATAGATTAATGTGTATAAAAATATAGAAAGAGGAGTGGCAAAATCAAGAAAGAGAGAAATCAGAAGAGAGATAAATAGTGTGACGTTTCTTTTTTTTCTATTTATAAAAAAAAATGTTACGTGCGCGCGCGCGCGGGAGAGAGAGAGAAAGAGAGTGCTTCGAAGATGTCGTCGGAGATGATCTCGTTTCAATAGTGACCGTGATCGCTTTGTTCACTTTTGGCGCAGGTGAGTTGAGATTATCTGAGTCACCATCATTCTGAAAGATTTTTAAGCTTTTGCGCGGGGGAAGCGAGGGAGTTAGGGAGGCCAGCCGCTAGAAAAAAAAATACAACGTAGAACGAAAAAAAAAAGGATCGAAGTCGAAAGTCGATAGATGCATAAAAAAAAAATAGATAGAACGAAAAGACGGAAAACCGTTCCGAAAGAATGTGTGCCGGAGTATGAGAGAAAAGCCGGATGTAGAAGGATGTGACGCCGGAAGTCGAAAGCGGATTATATAACGATATATTGTGTTAGAATCACGTAGTAATCACGTGTGTAAAAAAAAAATTAAATTCAAACGAAAATTTTTATAAAGCTAAGTCAAGTCGAACGAAACACGCAAGGAGGAGAAAAGAAATTGCTTTTTTTTTCTCTCGAACGTCCTCGATCTCGATGGATCGTTTTCCCGTAGAGATGAATACAAGCAGACTGACTGGACGTACTGGACCGAAGGGGGCGGGGGGGTTGGTTAAAGTGTGCACATGTGTCGCTGATCTTATTAATCAATTTTGCATATGCGTGGTCGCCTAATACGCGTATATATACGGGTTGTATCCGTCGAAGGGCACGGGAGAGTTCTTCCTGCCGATCGTAGATTCCAAGTTGCGAGCACCACTTTGACGGGGTTCTACTTCCTCGAATTACATACATGTCGACTTGCACTTTGTTCGAATGTCTGAACGTCGCTGGTTCACGAGCCACGAGTCGATCGTGCGCGAAGCGCTTTGATCGGTCGTCAACTCGAGGTAAAATCCTCGACGAGCTTCTTGACGTTCGAACAATTGCCACACAATAATTCTCACAGTTTCCCCCCTTCGGAATCTACAATCGGAATGGAAGTGCCGTGCCGGGCGACACATCCCGCATATACGCGGATCTTCTATGGGCTTGTACGTGTGCTCGCGGGTATGCAAGCGCGTGTGAAATGTTCATCGGGCGAATGGGGAGGTGGGAGGGTGCGTGTGTATGGTGGATGCGTGACAGAAGATACACGTGGGACGCGTGCGTGAGAGAGAGAAAAAGGAAGGACGCGTGAAGAGCTAGGAAGCCCCGGGGAGAGAAAGAGGGAAAGACTGACGTTGCCGGGAACCGTTTGGTTTTGCAACCGGCGTGAGAGGATGCGTGAAAGTGTAAAGAGTCTGTCTGAAGGGGGATAGACGACGCGAGCGGGGGCGGGAAACGACATGGAGAGGGCGTGTCGCCGTAGTCGTGAAGTATCCTTTAACGCGGGACAGAAGTTGACTGAGACGGCCGATTCAAACACGGTGACTCTTTTTTGCTGGCTCTACCCTTCCTCTTGCTTCCCCCCACAAATATAGAGAATACGTTGTGCCAATACAGTACATCGTACACAGAGATACGTAGTCACGAGATGCGCGGTAGAACTCCGTTTATCAGAACGTCCGCGGTGGAGTTTGTACAAAGGAAGCGATCGTGCAACGCTATATATTCTTACCTAATCAGTAAGATACAGAGATGAAGTTGGATGAAGGACACGATCTTCAATAATGTAAAGAGAGTCAAGAGACCGACGAGCAGATCCCTCGGTATCGAGGATCTATCATACAAACGCAGATAACATTGGGAAATCGATAACTCGAAATGTCTGGAATACTATCCGTCTGTGATACCATTCTGGAAACCGAGCAAGAATTTAATGATTGATGGCCTTCTGATAAACGAACTCCTACCGCGTGTCTAATGCTTGCACGAACATATATTATACCGCGCGGTGGCATGGAGGGCGATTTAAAGGATCGAAGTCTCTTCGTTTCAGAATTGGAGGAGACGTCGAGCGGCGGTGGCGATAGCGGCGAGCCGCCGACTCATATCCGCATCAACTTCGAGCGATGCTTTCGCAAGGAGTTCAGCACGTCGACGCTGCAGGGTAAGGCCGCGTCGACCGCC